GTAAAATATGTATAAAAAAATATTTACTAGATTTCAGTTTCACTGAATCATTCCTTCAGCAAAAATAAATTCAGAGTGAAAATAAGTTTTTACAGTAAACCAAAAATTTGTATATACTGAATCATTAAAATAGCATCATCAACCATCAAAATATCTTTTATATGTGAGCGCTACTAACAGAGCAATAACAATAACTTTCAAGATTTGCCAAAAATTGTTTATTGCAAACATAAAACATTTTATCATATAATAAATTTTAAGTCATTTACACAGAAATAATGATGAGTTATAAAGTAAGAGTAGAATTCTTCACTGTTCCTAAAAAATACCATGGTATTTGAGAACTATCAATAAATCATTAACTTTGTTAGTCGGTCAGTCATAGCAGCAAAATGCAGCGAAAATTACTTTCCTGACATGCCAATTAAGTTGTCAGTCAATAAGAATTAAACATTTCACAATTATTTGAATGCTAATAGCATAATTGCATAATTAATGGAATCTGTAACGATGTAAGTAATTTACAGCTTGCAAGTGATCTTTGTGAAATTCTATCACTTTTAAAAAATATTGAGAATATTTCACATCGAGACAGGTATCATTGATATCTCCATACACTCAGCTGTGAGTGCACGACTCCCTAGGGTTCTGTCATGAGACCTCTTGTTATTATGTTATATATGACCAGTTATTTAAACAAGGCGAGAATACCGAGCATTCCAACTTTGGAAAAATATAGGTCAATATTTATATCATTAAATTGTTACTAAATTGTATGTCTATTCATCAAGAAAACGCATGAAACAAAAAATTCCAAAAAAAAAATTAATATCTGAGAAAACAATTTCAAGCCTAATCAATGCATGGTTAAGGGATGGCCGTCATCGCACAAAATGCCTATCCAATTTAAGGTATTCTATAGACGAGGACTGCTCTGTAAGCATTATATAACAAAACCAATTTACAAAAGTTTTCAGAATTGTTTAATATATTACGACAAGCACCCGTCATATCACTAAATATTGCAAGCAGTGTATTACATTAGAAGATAGACGTATAATTACTTGTCACATGAATCACTGCTCACAAAATCATCAAAATCGGGGATTTATGTATAACACAGTGTCATTATTTGTGTACACTGATTGATCACTCACTTCTTCAATGTTGAAAACAGCTAATAGCTTGACAGTATTCTGATACTTGGAATGAGAGAATGCCGGATCTGGCTTAAAGATGCAAACAAGTTTTTCAGTTTGTCACCCCAACAAAATTCATTGATGTTAAGTTGATTGATTGAATGAATGAATAAACGGAGGAATGACAAATATTTATTCAATCATCTAAACAAATCACAGAATATCGTAAATTAGAAGCACTTATGTAAATGACTGAGTTGGTCAATGGTCAAAGTACTGTAGAATACTTTATTTTCGCTTGGAATTTATTTTCACTATTTTTCGCTGAAAGGCTGCTTCAGTGAAAATAAAATCCAGCGAATATACATTTTTTCCTATGTCTCACATTCAAATCATCAAAAATCAGTGAAAATAAATTCAATACAAAACACCCAAAAAGCTTTTTCAGTGAAAATTTATTCCAGCTAAAATAAAGTATTTCACAGTAAGGCCACACTGATTTAATTTTATGGATGACATCCTCTGAAGACCCCAAAACTAATGCGAAAGGGCGAAAAAAAAAAAAATCCTGCCAAAAAAAAAAAATCCTGCTAAAACCACAGGACTAGGGAGCTGTTATTACGAATTTAACCACAGTGTATCAAAAAAACAAGTCTTTATTTGTAGGAGGCACATGCTGATGTACACATTTCGTACTGTATTACTGTCACAGGTATCATCACCTTTGATTTTGAAAAGGCAAGAGGATAAGGCAGATGTTAGCTTTGCCAAAGGCCTACACATCAACTCAATAATAAAAAAAAACTTACTGTGTTTTATTAAAAGAAAGAAATTAATTAAAAATGAACAATAAGTTTGTCAACAGCAACCTGGAAATTAACTACTTTGACATTCAAACTACAGCTTTTAAAGTGACACTTCAGATAGACTAAGTGTAGACACAATCGCTCTAGAACTACTTCAACTATGTAATAAATTATAAGAGGCTCGATATTGAAAAACACACAAACAGAGTCAACAAAAATGTGGATGCAGAAAATTATGTACATGTATCTTGATGAAAATGTGTCATGATTAAAATATTACTGACTGTGTGTGCAAGCAAATTATCTGAATCAGAAAATGAAAAAAAAAAATAATAAGAAACTTTTCTTCACCCCGAAAGGGAACTTCGGCCGAGGAGCTTCTGCTGCTTTCGTTGCAGTTCTGTCGACTTCAATGCGGACAAAGCAACCGAACTGATTTGTCGCCTGACCGACTTTTAGGCCACCATACACCTCCACTCCTCTCCCATTTCTCTCATCGTTGCAGAAGAAACGCGGGACAGCCACTCTGGACAATATGTTCTTAAAGTTGTCTGGGCGAAACTCGCTTGCCGCTACTGACCTCTCGTATAGCTGTGTAAACGTCTCCCTGGCCAACGTCAATTGTCTACAACAATCCCTCCGTTTTACCTCTGAACTTTTATGCTCACGTATTTTGGTGGTGTGGTCGCCATGTTGGACCATTTATGACAAAATTTGCATGTTTTGAGGCAATCTCCTTCCCATAGGTCTTTGCGCTTTACCTAACGTGCATCTAACTGTGCGGAGTTTGGTTTTGAGGTAGTCCAAAACGAGTTTTACGACAAGTCGGCGATTTGCGACAATATGAGTCGGCAAGTTCCGGACAGAAAACCGATCTGTGGAGACTCGTCGTCAAAGATTTTTTTTTTTTTTTTTTTTGAGAACAGGCGAAAACTAATGCGCGCGCTGATGTCATCCATAAAATTAAGTCGGTGTGGCCTAAGTCATATTTTAAAGATCCAGTACACAATAAATACCGGTACATAGAGATGTGCTTCTAAAAGAGTAAATTCAGTGATCGGTATTACCGATAACACTGCATGTCAATACATAACAATACATGTCGATAACATCTCACAAATGCATCAGTATTTTACTGCATACATATACCTACATCTTTAATTCGTTTCATTAATTGTGCATTAAAATCTATCACACTTACGAAACATTGCAAGACCCGAGGATTATACAAGTATAGCACCAATACATAGCAAAGGGCAGTTAAACGTGATGATCTGTGAAACCAGACCACACAACTGATACCTGTCAATGATCCTTAAACCACATGGCATGCACAACCTTACAACATTACTCTGTGATAGAAACAGCTGCATGTGTTGACTCCTGGAAACCAATAAGGGTCTGAAACTCTGAAATACAATATGCCTAACTAAAAAACCATATGTATTTGCAACAATATGTACCGGCTAAGCAAACATGTTTATCAATAAGTTTCAAACCAACATGTATGTTTAAAAGTAAACTCAAAGAGCAATTTTATATTGCGATTTTGTTTCAGTAGATTTTGAAGTGTGATCTGGGAAGCAGCATCTGCTTGTGGCAGGCTCATAGACTGTTAATGAAGAGGCAGTATGTTTGTGTTAGTTGGACTCACTCTTAATTATATTACATAGGCTATGGATTCAATTTACCATATCAGTCACACCATGGAGTTCAGTATGTTCATGGTCACACCCACAGACTTCATACAAGATTTAAACAATTCCACAAATAATGAAAGCTGAACAAAGATAATAATAATTTAGCCAATATGGGATTGATAATGGTTGTCATGGATACATATAGTTCAGGATACTGTATAGAGATCAATTACTAGGTGGATTTTATTTTCCCTTTATTTCTCAGATATCTTAATAGAATGCACTACATAAATCCCACTGAATATGCATTTAGTTAAATCGCAGCTCCACAGAGTGTGTAAAAAAAAAGATAGGAACCTGGATTTTAGTATGCAAGTAGGTTGTAATGTGTCAGCGTAAACAATGTAGACAGCAGTTTCCCATGATTCCACGGGACAACCCCAAGTATTGAAAGTTTCCTCTTCAGAAATCTTCCCAACCCAGCAGTTTTGTTTTTTAAACTTTAAAACTTAGAGATTATACGGTTTAATCCTCCTACAACTGGAGATGACAGTGGTGAACTTAATTTCTAAATTAATGATGGCAAGCACTTGAAGTTTAAAAACCATGACTAAGTTTATCAAACAATGTAAATCAAGTTTCCTTGACAGTAGACATCAGGCCAGGGTTGGAATTTATTATTGACTAGTCTGACACTTGCCCCTAGATGACCTTGTATGACCACATTCCAAAACAATCCAGTGAGATGAACAACAACCTCATAACAAACCCATCTTTGATAATTTAGTTTTGATTTACTGCCTTCATTCTCAGCCAATATATGAACCCACCAGCAGAAATGTTCCTGCTGCCCACGATGTACTTATATTAATAGAAAATACCGATGCCATTGAAGTTCATCATTCAACTTGGAGGGGTGGCTGACCTAGAAAACCATAATAGAGAAAACCACGTTCACTCATTGGCGGGGAGAGGAGAGGAGATTAAAACGTAATTAATCACTAGGAAACCCGAAGAGAACGCATGGACGCTGTGATTAACATAGAAGAACGTTTAAACTATTTTGATCACCTTGTTTTAAAAGTTTGTTAACCAAAGTTTACAAAGTGACAACAGCTTTGCGGTACGTATTTTTTTTTTTTTTTTTTTAAATATTTGCCAGAAACATGCCTTACTGAAATGGTCTGTTCCATGATCATAGAAACGACGATGGACTGCTCCGCGACAGGACACGCCGCGAACATGTAGTACGGCGATGTTGTGCATGAACGACGCTCGGTTGCCTGATCAACATCGGCATTCTCACGCGAACGCATCTCCCACATGATTCAAAATATTGCTCCAGTGGAAACAGTAGCCACGTAAACGGAATCGCCTAAAACTTCAATGACAGGGAGGAAACTTTCTGAACTTACCTTCAAAACTTCATCGGTGTCAATTCTCGACCCGGACACATCCCGTTTCCTGGGATCGCTCTCATCACTGTTTCCAAAATTGAAGAAACTCCACGCCACTAGAAGCTGCATCGACACCACAAATCCAGCGAGGTAGAAGACGAACCGGTAGCGGCCACAAGAAATCCGAGTTCTGCTCCGAGATCCTCTGAACCCACCCGCCATGTTGACAGTGAATGAACACAATGGAGAACTCAGTTCGTCTGTGAACATATGATTCATGCAGTCGCTTCCGGTTTCCCCCAATGCAGAAATCAATTTAAGCAGCGCCATCTACGCGATGATTTGGATTCACTTTCGTTTTCTTGTTTTACGCAGTATGGCACACTTTATCACAGTTTATATTTAAGTTGCGTTTACTGTATGTCACGAATCGAGTCCGACATTTACATCATCCTGACCCCCCCCCCCCATTAAAAAAATTGTCAGTATGACCGAGTTTACATTTGTCTATAATTACTTGACTTGGTAGATGACGACGAGACAGACTTTTAATTCAACTACATAGTTTGTTATTTTTTTCAACATTTCAATGGAACACCATGGAAAGTAGTTTTTACTAAAAATGAACTTATAATTTTATCGTATTTGATAGTAGGTCTTCGTCACAAACTGTATTATTTTTATGTTATGTTGACACGTTTTTGAAGTTTTAGACGGACTGTCTTGGCAATTACATCGTACGATAAATAATTAAAAATGTCTGAAGAGATATTATAACTTTTACCGACTGTATAAACGCTCGTCTTTGTTTCTCACAACTGTTTTCATTCTCCGACTTCACCATTTTGAGCAATATGTCATCCTACGAACCCCATTACATTTGGAGATTTTACAAGCGAAAAATTCACTAAACAAGTTATTTCTTTGGGTTGTCTTCGTGTGTTCATTTACATCATTTTATTACACAGTCAACTTTTGTTAGATGTTGTTGATATGTCGCATTATTAGTTATAGTACTCTCGGCGCAACAGAGGCATTCCCTTTATCTTTATAAATTCCACAATTCAAACTTCAAAATGAAAAGTTTCTATATTTATTTGTTGCGCTGATCTTCAGCTCTCCTGATTGGCCCGAGACCGGAACGTTGTCTACGTCCATCGTGAGCCGCGGCGCGCATGCCTTCACATGGCATAACTGCGACCGCCCACTTACTCACAGCAAAGACATTAGAAAGAGATATATTGTCTTTGCTCATAGTGGGGCGCTTGCTTATTGGATAATATTGAACAAACTCATTAATATTAATTGTAACTTTTCTGTTTGGTCAATTTGAATTCTAACATCAATTTTCATTTATAAATATGTATATTCATAAAACATTTATAACGATCCTAACGATCAGAACGATTCACCGTGTACAAGTAAAAGTACGCGTATGCATATGTGCACGTGAATTCACCAGCCTGGTAAATCAAATATCGACTTAGAGAGTATAAAGTTGTGGCTAAACCTCAAGTTCAAATGCTAAATTTAGAATATGTAAATCACTAGCTTATTTATCACGTGACACCGATATTGGGAAACACACGGAAAATGAAACTATTACGCTAAACCATAGACCTTAGAAAGATAACAAAGTTGAGACGTGTCTCCTGTCGTAGGCTACGTGCGGTAAAGCATAGAGCTTAGAAAATGTTCTCAAATGGATACCCGTTTCACACGTTTGAGAATTAGTGTGTGTTGTTTTTTGGCATGTGTTTTTATGGTTACTTTTCCGCCAAGTAGCTGAACGCATACATAACTATTTTACATAATGTAATACTGAGATAATATGCACCTTTAAAGTTGTACTCTTAGAACATTCAGATATGTTATACTGATGGTCTTGGGGCTATTATGAGACCACAGCCCCTCTATACCCGGTCTGGAAACGAAATGCAATCAATTGTACCAATGCTCGTAGCGAATAAATAACTTTTTGACTACTTTCGACAAGTATTCCGGAAGTTATACCATCCGTGATGCGACCCAAAATAGGCATGATTTTAGTATCAGTGCGCATGCGTACGTGTCGTCAGCAATATTCAAATCAAGAAATAAAGAAGTTATTTGGGGCCCGGATTTGGGGGTTTTGTCGATTTAGTAATCTATTAAATATTAAAATACAATTAAACTAGCTTACTAATTTCGCAACGGGTTGTTCTAAGTTAGACTGAGTTATGCCATTCACTTGTAATTAGAGCAGAAACATGCGTTACACTTATGATATGTTGCGAAAACTGTAATGGACCACGTACAAAATGAAAAGCAACTCTGTTCAACTTTATTCTTTGAAGTCGAAATATCAATATTAACATAAATATTGGAAAACTCTGCTTAACCAACAATATGAAAGACAAAATCATTCTGCCAAACAGTTAACCCATCTTTAAGGCATCCGTCGCCATTTTGATTTCACGGACATTTTTAGTATCTTAAAATGCAGACGTGTTTTGGAACAAACTATCTTTAAAATTATATAGTCAACCAGTCGACCAATTTTAACACACGTTGAATTTTTCAAAACGAAACATTTTCCGCTGTTTTAATTGTTTCACAAAGAATAACAAGGACAGAAACATTGAGAACGTTCACATGCCGGCGACACGAACGTCACCATGACAACATGTTGGAACGAAATAGCTCATTGTTTCACATGGAGAAACATCATGCAGAATAACAATATATACTGCAAAAATATTTTTACTTATTTGTAAAATGGGTTTCATTCTTGCCAAAAAAATAAAATCTGGACCAATTTGAACGTATAACCCACAAAATCACCACACTTCGTGCCACTAATTCAGGTGACGCACAGCTCCTTAGCACGGGCTAAAGGGTCAAATTCCTTAGTCCGTGCTAAGAAAACTTGCGTGAACGCTCAGCACGGGCTAACAATCGCTAAGTACGGATTAAATCTTGCCCGTTTTTAAGACCAGGCCCAGATCCTTAACACGGGCCATGGAGCTCTTTTTTTAGCTCCATGCACGGGCTAACGAAATGTGCGTGAACGCTTAGCTCGGGCCGTATTCAATGTACATTTGGAAAATTTACTTTTATATTTATAACTAAAACTCAAAGCGAACACATCAAGAGATACTGTTCTCGGTAAAAAAAATGGACCGACGCTGGGAGTCTGCGCTACTTCCTGTTATTCTGCAATCTACACTTTCTGAATTTGCTTTGGTATTGTTTTATAACTGTAGAACTAACATGTGTACCTTCCTAGTTACTACACTGAGTAAACATAGTTAAAATGACCGAAGATTAGTTTCTTAGCTCGTGCTAACCACTGTTTCTTCCTGTGCGTGAACGCGATCGGGTCTATCCGATATGCAAACATATGAGATTGGCTTAAATTTTGGCCCGTACTTCGTACACTACAAAACAAGCGTTTTCAGACCGGAGATAGAGGGACTGAGTTGAGACATATCTGATGCTATGAATATGCGCGAAACACGGAAAATGTTCGTCAGATTCGTCTTTGTTTCGAATTACTGCAGGCAGCAATGATAATAAAATATATTTTTTTAAGACAGTCTTTGCAAATGAACTTCGGTCATTCACGGTTACTAGTAACCGTGGGTCATTTTTATAATGTCAATCACGAAACGCTAAACAACATCAAAACGTGCAGGAAAGACGCTGAAAATCGTTGAAATTTTATCATTTAATTTAATTTATATCTGACTGTATGCAAGTCTATCTCTCTATCACAAAATTAATTTCAGTCGTGCTGGCGCCCTCTGGTGGTACGTTTTACTGATTATGATAGCTGTTTAACTTTTTTTCGGTAGAACAACCCACTGAAATGTACACTGAATTCGAGGGAACCTAATAAGCACTAAAATGTATAGCTGCAGTTGTGAGAATATGTGACAAATACGTGACCGGAGAAATCTTCTCGGTTATTAAGATCGTTGGCGACGTTCGACCTAATGTATCACGATATTTTGTTTCAAAAGTTTTACACAATTATTGATTTGCGAATACATGATGAAATTGAACCTTTCATTTTTTGTAACCCAAAACGAAATTTGTTTGTCTGAAAATGCAAACACGAAAAGTTATATTTCTTATAATAAAAATAGTATTCAGCAGATTGTTTAAATAATGCATGATAATCCAAAGCCCATATGCCAACGTATGCAACCAAACATAACTTTGAGATGTGGTGAGAAATTTTTGATCGTATATAGAAAACATGATAGCAACTGGCTCAAATATCGCCGTATTTTGTACGAAAAGTAAATCGGTGACTATATATATTGATCTGATTTATCTGAGTTTTGCATAACCACATTTCAAAGAAAATCTGGTCCCCTCTTTCAAATAATATTCAACTGGTAACTTTAAGGGCGGTGGTCGTCGCGCAGCGCATGTGTGATATTTGTATTGATAGACATTGGTTTTCTCCTAGTGCGCTCTTCTAATGGAAATCACGAGTACGTGTCAAACCAAGGCACAACGTACAATAATTACCGCCGACGACTCTCTCGACACCTTCCAATCACCAAAGGAATTACATAGTTAAAGCTTAGTAACGTCTCAGTTTGTACTCGTTGATTTGAGCAACAGTCAAAGTCGCTTTCGT